GTTAATGTGTACAGACGCAGAGTTTCTTAAATCTCTTGCTACAGTATGCTGTTTTTATGTATTGTACCTTTTTAAATCAGAATGAACTGGAATAAAACAATAAAAAAATCATAGTCCTTCATATACATTATTTAGCTTCAAATGGAGTGCTTTCTAAGGACTGCTCACGCAGGGTTTCTTTAGCATAACAATGGTTCACAATGAAGACAAACCGCTCCAACCTCCTGGTAATGTTTTCACACAGCTTTGTCTATTCCACCTTACAACAGAGCTTCCCCAGTCTCAGCCTCTCTGTTTTAATTGCTTTCATCAGTCACCAGACTGGACCTGTTGTCTGCTTACATACAGATTACTACTTGCTTAAAGCTGGCCATACACCTTACAATTATCTACAGATTGTCTGTGGTCAGATGGAAAAGGTACAACAGATTCCTCCATCTACACTAAAGGTGGCCATACACCTTACAACTAGGGATGCTCCGATACCACTTTTTTAAGACCGAGTACTGATACTTTTTCCCAAGTGCCGATACCAATTACCGATACTTTTTCGTAAAAGGGACAGGTCACATTTTTTCTAAAGCAATACAAAATCATGATTTTAGTTCAGTTTCTTAATAGTATGAAGAACATGAAATGAACATGGAATGAATATTTATCATGCCATTGCTAACTAAGGCTTGTATCCCCCTATTGGGGAAAATAGATGAGCACATCTCCAGACCAGAACACTGTATAGTGTGGCACAGCTATATCCAATTCTGCATACCTGGCTTTATATTATAAGAGCTTTATAATATAAAGCCAGGTATGCAGAATCGGATATAGGTGTGCCACACTATACAATAATACACTGTTCTGGAGTCTGGACATGTGCTCATCTATTTTCCCCACTATGGGGATGCAAGCCTTAGTTAGCAATGGCATGATCTAAATATTCAGTTCATTTAATTATTCAATGTCTTTTTTTATATATTATAAATAGGTGGTTTCGGGTCCTTGAAGATGGCAGACGCGGCACAGGTACTCGGGTGATATGGCAGTCCTCCAACAACGGAAGCTATATTCGCATATGGATATTTTCCAGCTCGGTTGTTCCCTTTCTAAAGAAGAAAAGGGACCTTTACACAAATTATCTTCAGTTGTTTAATACTTGTTTGCATTGCCTATGCAGGGGAATGTGCTCTTATTACCACTATTGTGGCTCAGCCCATCAATTTGAATGAAACCATAAGAAAAATCAGAAATCCGTTTCTTCTTATTAAGCTGTTGGTCGCTCTTGCCATTACCCTGCTCGTATGGTTTAGGTTGTGCAAGGTCCCAGAGGGACTGGTTTATTGGCCAGCATTTGACAGTATCAGTGTCACAACAGACCACTGGGCTCTTAAAATCTTACGTTTTGGTTGGCTGGCTTAATCTGTAGACACATGTCGGCTTCATTATCCAATGTGTCTCTCAGACACAGTAACATCTTGCTGCAGTCAAATGTCTTTTTAAAAGTGCAAATCCTGCCACATGCAGAGAGAATGCAAATTATCACCTTCTGCCTAAAGGCTGTGCAGTTTTAACTGTGTGCCAGAATGTAGATGATTTAGTGAATTTCCCCAGTCCTGTTAATGTTGTCCTGTGGGCATTTTAAAGACTCGCAGTCAAAAAAAATTCACATTTTATTTATGTCTAAGCATCCGGGTGTGCTACAGCTTAACATTCTAGACAAACAGGGTTTTACCTAGTTGAGATGCAAATGTGAAAGTTGCTTTACCTGCCAAATACATTTTTATTCTATTCAGTCAGTATTAAGGATCATAAGCTCAGCTACACTGCATAGTCATTAAGCTGGAACTACTGTTGCTTCTTGTAGCTAATTCACTGTACAATCGGCAGTCAGGTGACACAGATAAGTAATATGTAGGGCTGTTACTGATTAAAATTTTCGTGTTCGATTAATCACATTTTTAAAATCGATTAATCGATTAATTTCGATTAAATATAACGCACATACAGATCCAACTACATTGGCCTATACACATACAGCACAGCAATGACGTAATAAAATTATTATTATTATACAGGATTTATATAGCGCCAACAGTTTGCGCACCGCTTTACAATATAGGGAAGACATTACAATCACAATACAAATCAAGACAAGATGGTAAGGAGGGCCCTGCCCCTGAGGGCTTGCACTCTAAAAGGGAGGGTGAAGTGATACATGAGTTGTAGTTGTGGATGGCTTTGTAACTGATTGATTGTTAATATTTTGAATTTTATCCTATGGAAGCCAGTGTAGGGATTGACAAAGAGGGGTGCAGACACTGAGCGGTTGGTTAGGTGAATGAGTCTAGGAATCTCAGGCTGTGAACATTGGGTATTCTGACAGTGGCCAGTACCCCTCTCAGGATACAAACAATCCCAGCAGCATTTAGCCAAGGATTTTCCAGCATGTCCCCTCAACAAACGTCAGTATAATAATCAATCCCCCCCACTGCAAGGATTAACTGCTCATTTTGTCTAGGGGATGAGGATAAAGTAGAGATTTATCTGAGCCTTGGTCCTCCCTGGCTGCTAGACCCTCTCTGCAACCTCTTCACCCCCCATGCACTGGCGTTCTAAAGACCCGTGATGTCATCATGTCTAATACAGGTCTATTAGAGGTGAAGACGCTGAGGGACATACCACAGCCAGAGGGGAAGAGAGGTGAGCGGTCACTACAGCAGGACCAAGGATTGGGTTAAAATGTCTTCGTTATTTTCACCCCTAGAGAAAAACAAGTAGTTCTTGCAGTGTGGGGGTCACACCACTGCAAGGGTTAATTTTTCTAAATCCTGAAGTTTTTTCTTTTAAAGGGCTTCTTCCTCAATCCCAATATAAGGTATTATAATTTCCATGTAAAACTTATTACCCATCCATAAAGTTCAGCTTTAACTGTATTGCTTATTTAACATTTGTAAATTTTCTCAGCAAAATGTTCAACCTGAAAACATAAATTTCACGGCGGTATGGATATGGCACATTTACTTGTTTGAACTGTATAAATTATCATAAACCCATATTTTATTCACAATAGAAAATAGAAAACCTATCAAATGTTTAAACTGAGAAAATTTTAACATTTTAAGATAAAAATAAGGTAATTTTGAAATTGATGGCAGCAACACTAATCAAAAAAGTTGGGAAAGGGCCATGTTTACCATGGTGTAGCATCCCCTCTTCTTTTAACAACATTCTGTGCCATGTCAGGGAACTGAGGAGACCAGTTGCTGCAGTTTTAAGAAAAAAGGAATGTTGCTCCATTCTTTCCCAATATAGGATTCTAACTGCCCAACAGTCCTGGATCGTCTTTGTCATATTTTGTGTTTCAAGATGCGACAAATATTTTCAATTGGTGAAAGGTCTGGACTGCAGGCAGGCTGGTTAAGCACCCGGACTCTTCTACTATGAAGCCATGCTATTGTCAAAGATGCAGTATGCGGTTTAGCATTGTCCTGCTGAAATAGACGTCATCTGGATGGGAGCATATGCTACTCTAAAACCTGGATATATCTTTCAGCATTGATGCTGCCTTTCCAGATGTGCAAGCTGCCCATTTCATATACACTAATATACCTCCATACAATCAGAGATGCAGGCTTTTGAAGTGATGCTGATAACAAGCTGGAAGGTCCCTCTCCTCTTTTAGTACAGGGAACGTGGTTGCCAAAAAAGAATGTAAAATTAAAATTCATCTGACCACGGAACAGTTTTCCACTTTGCTAGAGACAATTTTAAATGAGCTTTGGCCCAGAGAAGACGGCGGTGTTTCTGGAACATGTTCAGATATGGCTTCTTCTGTGCATTATAGAGCTTTAACTTGCATTTTTGAATGGCACGGCGAGCTGTAGCCACAGACAGTGATTTTTCAAAGTAGTCTTGAGCCCATGCAGTGATGTCCATCACAGAATCATTGGAAAGCAGAAATCACCAGCACTCAGTAAATATCTTTGATGTCCATATAATCGGACCAATCGTCAATTGTCATGTACAAAATAGAGACGTTTCGGGACTGCACAGATCCCTTCATCAGGGCGACAATGAAGGCATCCTGTGTGGTCCCGAAACGTCGCTATAATGGACATCAAAGATATTTACTGAGTGCTGGTGATTTCTGCTTTCCACTGTTTGTTGGACCGTGCCATCCGTGATTGTCACTGCGAGCACCACTACAAGTACTTGGGCCGGGAGCGCTGTGACGAGTGCAGAAGGACTTACTACTTTCTACGTCACAGAATCATGACTGTTTTTAATGCAGTGCCGTCAGAGGACCCGAAGATCACGGTCATCCAATATTGTGTTTCGGCCTTGTCCCTTGCGCACAGAGATTTCTCCAGATTCGCAGATTTTTTTTGATATTATGTACTGTAGATGAAGATATATTTACATTTTTTGCAATTTTACGTTGAGGAACATTATTTTAGACACAGCTTTTCATGGATTAGTGAACCTCTGCCCATCTTTACTTCTGAGACACTCTGACTCTCTAAGATGCTCTTTTTCTACTCAATCATGTTACTGACCTGTTGCCAATTAACCTAGTTAGTTGCACAATGTTCTCCCAGCTCTTCCTTGTTAGTGCCACTTACTTTGCCAGGTTTTTGTGCCCCTGTCTCAACTTTGTGTTGCTACCATCAATTTCAAAATTATTATTATTTTTTTTAAATAGTTAATTTTCTCAGTTTAAACATTTGATATGTTTTCTATTATCTATTGTGCATAAAATGTGGGTTTGAGATTTGCAGATCATTGCTTTCTGGTTTTTTTATGTAGATTTTACCAAGCATCCCAACTTTTTTGGAATTGCGGTTGTATTATCAGAAAATATGTTAATCAACCATGTGTTTAAAGCTGGTAAAACTGCTACAAATACTGAGGTTAACCACTGCCTAGATGATACTGAATTTACTTTTAACTGTTCTGAAGGGATAAAAATTAATTTGTGTTTTTTGTTTTTTTTCTTTTCTCAGATTCGTGCAGATGGTCCTCCGTATGGTGGCATTCAGTATGAAGTGGTACCTGTGATGAGAGATGGAAGTCCCATTTTAAGAGACATGGCTTTTTCTTCTGACAACAAATACCTTTATGTCATGTCGGAGAGGCAGGTAATCAAAGTAGAGAGATTAACCAATGAGCCAACTTATTCAGCAATATGTCCTGATTCCAGAACACATCTGTGCTGACATCTTCACGGTGCCTCATTTAGTCATATATTTGAAAGAAACTGCATTGCCCTTAGAAACGAATGCTTGTTTCTGGCTTTGACTAGTGATATGTACTGTATATTTCATTTTGTCAGCTTTATAAAATCATAGCAGATTAAAATACCAAAGTGGCTTGTTACACAGTAATAGTTGCTTATTATGGGTGCTCTGTAGTATCTGGAGTTCTGCAACTCATCCCATGTTTGAGGCATACTGTATTTACTGTCACCCATAATCCTCTTTTAATCTGTTTCCAAATTCAGGATACCAAAAGCTGCACTTTTTTGGGAGAATTGATAGAGGCCTCTTGTTCTAAGTAGATTGCTGTTTAGTCACAGGAGCTGAATATACCTATAGTCTATGTAGTAAAAGCGTTCGTTTTAATTCCAGGTGATGTCAAATTATTGCCAAACCTGGTTTGTTAAAAGCTGTACTTTTGGGGGAAAGTAGAGGTTTGCTTTCACAAAATATGCTATGGTTTTAGATCTATGAGCTGATAATTTAAAAATAAACTCTGTAATAAAGTCTATTATTTAACTAGAGTCTGGGAGCAGGTTATGTAATGCTTAGTATGCAAATGTAATTCATTTACTGGTTACAGGTTCACTTAAAGTTGAGGGTGACTGGGATCTAAAGAAAAAGCATGTTTGTTAGGCTATTCTTCCAGTGGAAGGTTAAATATTTAAACAAACATTGTTTTTATTGAGGGATACAGAATTCAGGGACATTTCAGGCATACTGCTGCCTGCAGGAGGAGTTCTAGAAGGATAGATGTATTTTCTCTACTGAGAAAAGCCTGATTTGCTACCCATTTCTTTTTCCTTATTCAAAATCATTTTTTTTAGCTTTGTATTAGGCTTGGATGAACAGTTGACCCCAAATACTATTAAGGGTCAGATCTCAGTGCTTGTGATATAGCTCCAGAGATCATAAGCCTCTCATTCTTTTGATTAGGATCTTCCTCTAGGGTGTCTCTTATGTGGTTCCCCCAATGCATCCACCAGTTTCTTCAGGGTATTTTAATCTGGGTTTTCTCAGTACTTAAAAAATCACCCTTTGAACCTTTTGGAGAAATTCCCCTTTCACTCAGGTTGTTTTTCATGTTGCCATTACGTCCGCAAACTGTTTGTCTGAACAGCTGGCCTTGTAATGAGCCTTTTCTGGTCATCCTGGCCATAATAGCCCTGGTCTTAAGGCCTAAAATCTTCTACCTTCCCAAGGTGGTTTCAGCCTTTTATCTTAATTATGACATTGTGCCCCTGTCCCTCTCTCCCAAGTACACCTAAAGGAGATTCTACTAAATGGTCTGGATGTAGTTCAAGCTGTACATACCTTTCTCGCAGCTACTGCCTTCATAGAAAAATTGACTACCTCTTTGTCAAATAAAGGGCCACTAGCTTCTTGTTGCACCAATTCTCTGTGGCTTAGACATAATTTAAGCTTATGATCTTAAGGATCAGATTCCACCCTTTCTTGCTCATGCTCACTCTACTAAAGATCTGCAAGTGCTTCTTAGGCTTTTCGGATCTAGGTAACTGTTTGCTAGAATTGCAAGGCTTCCACCTGGTCTTCTGTTAACACGTTCTCTATGTTTTACCAGGTGGATGCTCAAGACTCTTCTGATACCAACTTTGGGCATTAAGTCATTACAAAACGTAGGCATGCTCAGCGCTAGAGGGGTGATACCAAGCTGGTCACTGTTTTGTTTTGTTTTTTTGTTCATCAGCCCCAAATTCTCCTGTAGGCTGCGGTATAACCCAAATGTCACTAAATCCTGTCTCACAATGAACTCAAAGAGAAGGATTTATGGTGCACACAAAATCCCTGTGTTTTCCTTCTCACAGAGCATCCAAAAGCACAGTGCTTTACAAATGTATTACTAAATTGGTGTGCTTATTTGAATGCTTCTTGCATTTGTTATGACAGCCTTGTATTTTGATGTGTAAATTTATTAATCACACTAAACGATTTCAGTAACAATAGCAGAAGCAGCTCTGGAAATCCTCTGAACAAAGTGGGGGAAAATGTAAAAATAAATACATAGATGTAGGTCTGTGTAATTTGTCCAAATCGCATTTACCAAGGTGTCAGCTTGAGCCAGCTCATATCGAAAACACGGAAGCCTTTTCTCCACACTTCGTAATTGTTTGTGTCGGGCTTATGATAATTTGGAATTAAAGCAAAAGATATTAAATCTTTCCCGTTCTCGCTGCAGGGGACATTAATGCACATTTTACTCTTGCAAATTGACTTCTTAGTGTAAAGATTAGAGCAGACTTGGTTGTCCAGCTTGCATAGCAGCTTCTTAGAATTCTGATTTCATGCAAATTTAGAAAAGTAATTCAGGCTGCTGGCAGCTGTAGAATGAAAGCCTAAATGCAAATTAAACTAACTAGGCAGTAGGGCAACAGTATACCTATGTGCAATGAGCCACGGAAATTGTTAATTTGTCCCATTTGATCTTATTGTAAACAGGTGAGGGGTCAGAAAGACTTACCAATGCTAGAGCATGGCTACAATGTATGTTAGGAATAACAATCATGACATATAGTTATGCATTTACACATGCGATTACATATATAATATATTGAATGCATTCTAGATATGTAAATACAAAGACGCACATGTTCATGCGCATGTGTACTTTCTTTTGGTTGCCTTGAATAATATTGTCAAATTAGTGTGACTACATAAGTAATACTATGAAAGTGTAGATGGGTGCAACTAATGTCTCCCTTTTTGAGCAGCAGACTGGCCTACTTGAATGACTACTTAGCCATTAAGTTAAAAGTGGTTGAATCCTCCATTCACTACCCAAAAGTAAGAATTTCATATTTGGGTATATCTAAACTTTAAAAATTGATCGCACAATAGCTTTCCCAAGTGGCCTCTACACGTGAGATATTTGAAAATTTGTGTCTGAATCTTGATAAGCATGGCATTTTTTGGTGGAAACCATCAGGTACCTAATGTAAATTAAGTCCTGTACTAGGGTGACAACACTGCTCCAGTCACCCTAGGACAGGAAATGTATTACTGGTAGTTTCACCAGGTGTAAATAAAAGAAGGAAGAAGCCTGAAAAAAAAGAAATATAATGCAACCACCACATCTAAGAATTAGTAAACTGCAATATGTTAAATTTTTGTTTTTGGGTTTCCATTTACTTTGAGTTAACATTACTTCGTTCTACCTAGTAATATACCTAGAGAATAAATCCAAAAACCAAATCCACACACTTCCGAAATAATTAATCTTCCAGTAGATCTCTGCTTATACATTTTCATTTACCATTTTTGTAGTAATTATCCAAGCTATTGTCACTGACAATTCTTAGCAGTAAAGGGTTGTACTATCTTGGCCATAGATAGCAGTAGCATAAGTAAAAATGTGGGTGATACCTTTTAATTGTGCAATTGAATGCAATCTTTCAAAAACTTAAGAACCCATTTATATCGGAGAGCAAATATTGTTATCTGCTATTGCATAATGCAGCCCATTCATTCATAAAATTCAGGCCATGGTATGCAAGCTGTTATTCTCTCTGCCTAACTAGCTTGACACGTTGCCTGACTGAGTTTTTCTTCCGGCTTTTTTTTTTTTGGATCCCCATTCGTTGCAATTAAGCTTTGCCATCTTTGGACACCCAAAGCCAGCGGAGCTCAATACACATTTGTAAAGCACATCACTATGCTTTATAAAAATGCAGCCACATGTCTATTTTTTATATAGCAGTTTACAGCAGTTACCTTGGTCAATGACTTCATCAAGGATCCCTGGTGCTGTGTTTACACTTGTACACATCGGCGGTAGTTGGGTCTTTGTGTTTGACAATGGATTTACATTGATAGACATCGAGTTTGATGCTGCATTACATCAGGGGACATTATTAACATTTTTTTATTGTGTATTTATTGTAATGTAAGTAAATGACTTCTTGAAGGTGGGTGTTTTTTTTTACCTTTTTGTGGTAATAAATAGGGAGTATCCTGTACTCATTCCCAGTACACTATGTACTCCTGTACTCATTCCCCTGGGAGGGGTAGATATGTCTGGGGGCTTCCAGATTCTGCAATATGCCCCCCCCCCCCATATTACCCCATTCCCTTCTTAAGGCATTGGAGCTAGGGAAGGGCCTCCCCTACTGGCAAGGCAGCTGCCCAGTATTGCAAGGCATGTGGCTTGGTCTTGTAGAGGAAGCATGGCCAACCAGTCTGCATACAAAGAAAAGAAAACTAGTAGACAAGGGAGTATGCTGTTGTCTTCGGGTTGTATGAAAATATAAAAAATATTCCTTTATTTTCATATAAATACTGGATTTTTCATATGAATTCTATACATTTCATATACATTTTCATATAAATACTGAAAATAATGGATTGGATGATGATGGTAAGAAATAACATGACAAAGGAAAGAAAATAATTGGATGAATTATAGGAAAAAAGGGAGATATCTATAAAACCTAGTGACGGGGCCAATATTGTCCTCCTTATGAAGTACGAATTATGTAGGAGAACTTGAAATACAACTTAATGATCTAAGGTGTTATGAGAAGATTAGAGAAAACCCATTTCCAGAGGTAGTCCATTGACTTAACCACAGGCTAAATTGGGCTACATGAAAGGCATGATGGAGTAAGACTATAACATCCCTATATTTTCTATTCTGCAAAAAATGCATAAAAATAAAGACCCTCCCTCATTAATTTTGGCAATAGATAGGTAGACCCACCCATTGAGTAGGAGAGTATAGGAAGGTTAAGAATTTGGTAGTCTGTCTTTCATTCTATGTTTAGGACAGTAAGGGTATTCTTAAAGTACTAAACTCAACACAATTTGATCAGGAAGATTTTCTAGTTTTTAATTGATGTTGAATTCTTATATATGTCAGTTCCTTGCAG